ATGTTGTTCCAACCCCCAGAACAGACGGCCTATCATCAACATCCTCTGCACTCTTTTTCAGATCCTCGTTGCGATCACGGTCGGCTTCTTGGTTGGGCATTACAGTGCCCGTGGAGACAAAGTTAACAGGTTTGGTGAGGTCTGGCTTCTTAGAAAAATCTTTCCTCCTTTTCTTTGAGGAACCTAATCCGGTCCCCTCATAGTCTGAATCGCTGTCTCCAGATGCAAACACACCATACAGGACATCATCCTTGCTCTGCACACGCTTCTCCTTGCGTGCACGGTAGTAAAACTCACCACCAATCCACTGGCCACCCTCGTAGTCATTTTCCATATCGAACCTTTCGCCCTCCTGGTACTCATCCATACTGAAAAGCGCCTAGTTATGAGCTGCAAAAACACTAAACAATCAATAACAGTTTAATACTCATATGGAATGAGTAAAAACAATATAAAGACAAAATTGACAAGATCTAATTAGCGGAACAGTGTCGTCTACTTAGAAAAATCAACAAAAGATCTGGCGCTGAATGTGAATTTGTAGCTCTCCTCACCTCCTTGGACTGGTCTAGTCTCCTGTTCCAGGTTTCCAATCGTGGACCAGGGCCTCTCAAATTTGATGGTTCGATCACGAGAGGAGCAGAGGGTGAGGGCCAGGGGTTTTTAAAGCTTGATGAGCTGAAGCCTGAAACCATATAATTGAAATTCATCCGTGAATTCTATAGGTTAGGGCACGCTCAATGTGAGAAGTCAAAACTCAAAAATTATAATGTGCATAGTTCATTATAATAATGAATTGGGCATAAATTGGCATCACCGTAAACCCAGTTTATTGAGGTAAGTTGTTTGATAAGGTAACCCATTAAAATTTCAGATTTTTATTTGATAGCTACAAGGACCGACAGTGGAATCTTCCAAACAAATTGATTATCAACGGTAGGGTTCAAAACAATCACTATTTAGGGGGCGTTTGGTTCATGTTGAGGAAAGGGAAAGGAAACAGGAAAGGGAATCAGGGGGAAAGGGAATGATTACCCCTGAATTACTATGTCCCAGTGCAGGAAAGTGAATAGAATTCCCTTTGTTCGTGTTTGTTTCAAAACAGGGGAATCAATTGAATTCTAAAAAATTTGTAAAAAAAAAGTGTAAAAAATCTGTAAAAAGAACTAGAGGGGTTTCAAGAAACATCTCGTGCTAATTGCTAACATTCACTACTTCCTAAACAGGGTCTAGTCTCTGAATTCATCAATAATAGGTAACCAAGAGCTAATACCACCGGCTAAAGGCTAACATAGCTTAAATGCTTACTGCATATCAAGTATTAACTGACTCTAAGGACCTATATGTCTTAATCTATCAATGTAATTTGTTTTCAAAATTGTAAAAAATCTGTAAAAAAATTTGTAAAAAAAACATAAAAGAACTTCAATCTCTAAAAAATTTTGAATTGTAAACTACACAAAACAACTTCAAATTGTAAAAAACAATTG